CCCCAAAACCCCAAAACCCCGTGAAACTGATTCAATATGATAATGAAAATTAGCAATATTTATTTTAATCAAGTTTGGGGGGAAAATGGTGGAGTCTTCAGTTTTATTTTAATAGTCTCTAGATCAAGTCAATATAATTATTTAGAAGTCTGAGGCTGATTAAATAACTATCAAAGTACTGATTGGAACATCTAAAATAAACTAAGAGGATAAGAGAGCATAAGATTAGCTTGACTGTCCAATATGCTTATAGATCGTATACAATCCAGTTGAATGCTCTAATTGTCAAAAATGCTTTTGTGAAGACTGCGTCAACTCTTGGCTTTAAAGAGATAGGTACGATAGTTGCCCACTTTGTAAATAAAAACTAGTACCAAAATAAATTCACAGATTCGTTAGGTAATTTATTGAAGATACTTTATTTGAAGGATGCAAGAATGAATTATGTGAATAATAAGGTAGGAAAATTAAATATTCTGATCTTTTAAAACATTACCAATATCAATGTGAAGAAGTGAAAGTTTCATGTCCTCTTTAATGTGGTTCTTAATACCTAAGAAAATAAAAAAAATTACACATTGATTAATGCACTAAAATCAATTATCAATGTAGATAGTGTGGCTGCAATAAATCAATCTTAGAGGAGAAACAAGTTCCTCATAATTGCATTGAATATCTTTAGTAATAGGAGAGTAAATTTAAACAAAAAGTAGAAGAGAAAGATAAGCATGCTATCTAAGTTAAAGCACCGCAGAATAATGGTGATTCTGGCCTTCCATAATAGTCAGACTAATTTTGGACAAAGCTGCATAAATATCCTTTAGAAAAAATGACATATTAACAAATGAGAAAACTTCCCGGTCATGAAGGCTATCAAATATCTTGGTTTTGTGATGCTAAAAATTTTCTAGGTTGTAAAGGTGGCTAAGATTTAATGTTTAATTTCTGCGGAGATCCACAAACTTTGACCTACCATTGTGACATATGTAATTTTGATTTCTGTTAAGTTTGCTATGATTTCTATGGTAATGCTCACAAACATGATCTTATCTGTACAACTTGGCAGTAGTTGATGTAAACAAATGAAGGTTATAAAGTTGGATGGAGATGTGATGCAACAGGGTATTTTGGATGTCAAGACCAAGAAAGTATTCGAACTAATCATGAAGAAGTTCTTTATCATGATTCAATAGCATTCTTTGATTTGTGTGAGGATTGTTTAAGAAAATATTAGGTTGATGATGATTCAAATGATTTTGACTGAGAAAGATCCAATTAATTAGATTTTATTTTCACTTGATTGCGTATTCCTTATTAGGGATATAGAGTTAATGATAATATTTATTATTATTTTTTCTTTATTTATTCGTTGCTAATTTCTATAACAATATTATTTTATGTCGGGGGTTTTGGGGTTTTGGGG